TTCAGAAATGAAACTGGGGTAGTTGCATAGTAAATCGGAATCCAATTTGTATCGTTCATTGATACAATTTCCATGATACAGTTCACTGTATAGGTGCTTCAATTTGCTACGCGCTGTTAGAACATCTTTCCAGGCGAAATATGTCCAAGGTTGACTCTTTCAGTTTGCCCCATATGGTGTGCCCTACTACTCGGTTGGCTTGAATTACCATGGCAGATCAATGGATTATCATTATAAAAGTAACAGTGATTGGAGCACCGTCAGCTGAGACTTCTAAGAGGTAAAAAGGGCAAATGACTATACGACATATCATCGCATCCTGTTACCCTTTTGTAACACCAAACCAGGCAAGACCTGTCGTGAGGGAAGACCTCAAGGCATCCTTTCTATAACAAATGTGCCAGACGAAAGCCATGCAACTCCGTCTACCGATCGTAGTAGAGCTGGAACTCGAGCCGGATGGAGAGGTCCTCTTAAGAATTATCCGTGCCTTTCTGCCCACCCAAACCGCTACCCGGTTTGGGTGCGCCCGCATTCCTGGGCTTTCCGCAATCCTGGGCATATTGTAGAGAAATCGTCAAATTTACCACCCAACTAGCTAATTATCAATAAAAAAAAAGGCTCTCCCGCCTGCCTAGCCGCTTCCTCTGACCGCCGGATGGGTTCGTAGCCATACAACTTTTTGAACTGCCTGGCTAGCTTCCTTTCCTCCTTGGCCAAATCCTCCTCCTTCCTAGTTTTAATCGATCGATTCGCGTCGCGTGTAGTCAATATACCGGTCTGGCTAAGCGGTTTAACCTGTCGCTTAGTGTATTTGCGACGTACTGGGGTCTGCGCGGCCCTCATGCGCCGAATTGTATCCCGCGTCATCGAAAGCTGCTCCGCTATCTCCCGCTGGTGCGCCATCAACTTCGTCAGATTTCGCTGCATCTTATCTGACAGGCCCTCGAGGTGTTTAGTAATCTTCGCCTGGTTCTTTTGCAGTGCTTCAATAGATTTCGGAGGGCTATTTTCAACACTAGAAGGCGAGAGATTAGGTGGCGGCGATGGTGTGTGTGACCCCCATGAGCGAAGATCCGGTGCATATAGATCAGGGATTTCTAGTTGATTGGTAAGATCTGCCACAATCTTACTACCATCAACAGGATAGATCCCACGCTCTCTAAAGGAATCACGAATAATTCGCTGCGAAAAGGCTTTCTTGCGAATTGGCCCGATAATCGCTAGGAAATCCGATTTCCCATACGGCTGGCCGCCCCAGAAAGCTAGCTCATTATTCATCATCCGAAATTGCTGCTTATAATTTAGAAAGGGCTTTCCATCGAGTGGCTGACAAAGATGTGTTGAATGCGGTAAGAATTCAAAGGGGATAATCGCATTATCCTCGCAGGTTTGAAGAAATTCGAGTGTAAGATGCGCGCCATGGCCGTCGAATATAAGAACGCGCTTTTCACCCCGATTCACACGATGAGCGGTCAATTGGATAAAATAGCCTAGCCAGGCTAAGGCTAATTCATCAGAAATCCAGCCATTAGGAGATGTAGCCGTCATCGTGTCTGGTGAGAGGTTTTCGCTGCCGTAGAACCAGGCCTCCATAAGATTTCGGCCGGTTCCTTTGAATATAAAGAGGGGATCCATCTGCCAGCCGTCCGCAGCAATACACTCTAATGCAGTGATATTTTCGCCTCTCTCTGTCTCAGCAAGGTCAGGGCAAGATGATTTAGCCCCAATAACGTTTCTCGATCGCCCTTGACCAGGTTGAAACCCGCATTCATCGAAGTTGTATACTAGCCGAGCAGGAACGTCATGGAGAACAGTTCCTAGCTGGTCGTACCAGTGCTGGAGAAACCCTGCGTCCTCCGCTTGAATTCGATTTAGTTCCTTGGTCTTTTGCTTCACAGGGCCTAGGCCAAGATTTTTTGGTAGGCGCTTTATAAAGGCATACGGCCAATTTTTACCAACCTGCCTATCCGGCTGGCCCGATCGCGCCAGCGCGCGATTTGCCCATGCGCCTACTACCGCAGGGGTAGGTGGGAGGTTCCAGCCATGCATTTGGACTATCCAGCTGACCAAGGCCTTCTCCTGATATGGCTCCAGGAGATTCTTTAGCGATTTGGTAGGTGTAATGGGCGATTTGGCCAATTCGACGCGTCTCGTCAAGCTCTGGCGGCTTACGCCGAATTCACGCGCAGTCTTGGTAATATTTGGCTTCTTTTGGAATAAAACCGCTTTGCAGGCCTCGGCTATGCAAGATTCATCAAAATCGCTAGATTTAGGCATCTTTGGTGGTTGAATTGGCTAGTAGTAGGCTACTGGTAGAAAAATGCCCAGAATTGCGGAAAGCCCAGGAATGCGGGCGCACCCAAAGCGGGGAGCGCTTTGGGTGGGCGGTAGGCACGGATACTCGGGCGAATGGACTGAGAATGGAATCTGGGACTAAACCTAAAGAACAAGCCCCTATACCTTCAGCGAATCGAGAGAAGAACCAAAGGTCGATATGTCGTCAGGCTTCTTCTTGAAGACACCGCTCGGGACAGCCTGGTTCTCAAACATACCGCTTGAGAGAGCTATATGAGAGCCGAATGGCAGGGAACGAATTTGACTAGAATATTAATTCAGTGATTACAATGAGAAAGTGAAAATGTCGCTCCCAGGGCACCAGATCAGTTGGAATAACATTCACATACTGGGAGCTGTACAGATCTGCTCGAGATTAGTTTACACACTTCATTTACCTTCAAATAATTCTGAAATTCTAAATGAAGAGTACTCTTTACCTATCGCCGATACCCTGGTCCCAAAATACTCTCTTGGCAGTGTGTTGGTACAATACCAATTACAACGATAAGGTACTCTACTGTATTAGAGTTCCTGGAATATAATTTATTTCGCGGCAAATAACGGAAGAGATGAGAATAATTCTTGATAAAATTGTGAGAGTACAGCAAGTACCAGGAAAGAGGAGCTCTGAGTGTGTTGCGCATCTTCCACTTTCAATGTTCAGTCCAAGCAAATCACCCAGTAGACTGGCAATTCTTGAGAATATCTGGGAAAAGTGTTGTAATGGAGGGCAACGTAATGGCTCTGTTCACTCTTCCTTCCCCTTTGGTTGAAGCGTCTTTCGCACCCTGGTCCGCAGCGCGCGTGCCGCGACGCTCCTCGCTATAGTTTATATTGAAAGATGTCACTTGAGCACGACGTGCTATCTCCTGCTCCCCTAGATGCCAATGCATAGCCTCCGCTGCTCTCCAGGGAATGCCTGATTTCTCTCCTATCATCGACCATATATGCTCCCGGAGCCTAAATACCGGAATGATTAGCTTAAGAAGAAGATACTGTATCATTTACTAACTTTGCGTATTCTCGTGAAAGAGAATCTTTTCTCTCCTCAGTCCATTGTGGAGATCGATTAAGGTGGCCTTTGTATCGGAGACGACAACACGATTGCGATTTCCCAGGTAGCATTCGGCTGATCGCGGGCCATTGCCATCCCTTGCTTCGGAGATGAATTAATTTAATGTCCTCTTCAGGTAGCCACACTTTGGAGGGTTGACATGAGAGATATTGGGATCTGGCTGCTCTCTGTGATCGTGGTGGGCAATGGTGCGACATTATTCGTCGTCTTCATGAGCTTATGGGTTGTTTGCCTTCTTGGAGTGGGATATATGCAATGGAAAGTCGAATGGGCGAAGAGTCAATTGTACTAGCAAGGCTTTATATTTCTCCCAAAGCCTCAGTCATTAGTTGAAGGTGATTTACTATTTTTAATGATCGAATCCTTGTTTAATAATCCCTTACTGGGCTTAGATACATACAACATTGCTGTTTATAAATGATGTGACTTAAACATCACAGAACAAAATGCTTAGTGAACAATACTAAACCTTTATCTTGCCCTAAACTGCCAACCCGTTGAAAACCTAACATTTCTTGATACAAGAGTATATTCAGCTTACCTACAGTAAAGGAAGCGAAAAGATCCCAGGTTCCGCTTTTGGCCTGCCTGTGTGAGAACTGATATTCTCCCAATTCAAAGATGATAACTTTATTTACCCATTTTATCTCGCTCTAATACACGGAAATGCTGCCAGGTCGGTTGCAAACGACTATTTAGGGGCTGTAATGAGAGCCTCTGCTTGATCCTTGCGGTGCTATACGGCCGGGATATAAGCGACTCAGTCGGTGGAGCAGACGGATTCCACAGCGAAGAACCTACCTACTGTGAGGTTCAATCAATGTGCCTTCCAGATTTCTCTTTCAAAATGTGTCGGTCGTGGCAGATAGCCTGTTTCCAAGCGAGGCACTCCACTGTTCTAGGCATATTGGTGACTAGCTGGGGGTCTGTCTACGCAATATGGAGCGAATCAACAAGTTTAGTAGCTAGTGGATGATATATTCAAGTCTACAGCAGGGAGGTCGCTAGTACTAAGGGTCAACTTCAGGACGAGATTGGTCCAACGCCGGAAGGTAGCTTCACAGACGTGCAGACGCCAACAAATTGCGTCCAGAAACAGTAACTCATTGTTGTTAATCTCCGATATTTCGAAGCCGGAGATTTTGCTCCATGTGCGGTTGGAATAGCTATCGTCTTGCAAATACTTGGAGGCCAGAATCAGAGCTGTCAAGAACATGCGGCGGCCACACTGCCTGGCCCACATACGCGACTGGCCCCGAGACTGTCCCTGGTTCAAGTCATGCAGCAGCTTAGGCTTAATCTTAATCATGTAATATAACGCCAGGCGGAGGGTCGAGTAGCTAGTACGTGCGCGACGAAGGACTTCCTGGATAAATATACGCAGGGGGAAAACGGTAATAGAACTACCGGCTGCATAACTATGCGATGTTGCAGCGGAAAGCGGCCAGGTATGTTCCACGATTTGCGATGTTAAGTCTCCAGGACGAAATGAGAGATTTAGCGGGGTGTGGGACATAGCACGGATGCCGAAGGAGACGCAACAATCAAGCTTACCGACAAGGTTATCGACGAAATTTGATTTCCGCTAGAGGCTCCCGAGCAGACGCGGCGAGCGCCACGCTGCAGAACCGTTCATCGTTACTTTGGTGCGTCGGGGATGCTTGCCCAACTTGGCAGGTATGGCGTCACCAAGATTGGATGGAGGTCCTTTGGCGAATGTGCGAGAACATATACCTGAAGGTTTTCCGAGTGTCTCGCCTTCATGCTCCCAGGTCATGTCGATGGGATTCATCGGGGTGGTCGAGACTGAGCTCTGCAAGACGCCAAGCGACAAGATCAAGGAAGAGATGCGCAAACCCAAAGTATCCGTCCCCGACGTATCTGAAAGTGTAGACAAATCCATGGAGATGGTCGATCATTCAGTTACGAGTTGGCTACCGCAGTCCAGTCAAGAGTGCTCAATGAGCAAACGAACGGAAGATGGAATGATTCGATTTGGAAATTGTAGTATTATTATGATCCCGTCTAGCAGAGATACGGCGAGGACGACCGAAATAACTGCACGCTGAAAATTCGTATAAAAGTTTAGCTCACTTTGTAATAACAAAGCAAGTTGACCATCAAGGTGGCGCAGTGGAGGTGTGTATAATCGTAGCAAATGATGGCGAATCCCTGATGTCACTTATTGATCGGCGCCAGTGAAAGAAAGCTTCCATAACAAGAATTCCCCCAACAAGCACGACCATTGGAAAACGCTGGGCTGCATCCATCTCTCTGCCAAATTGACGCTACGTTGGGCCAGACATTGATACGAGAGAATATCGCTAAGATTTCAGGCCGAATTTTGTGACTTACTCGGTAGTGTTCCAAAACGGGACGGCCCCATCATCACTGCATAGGACACTCTGATGTTGATGACGGGTCAATCTGTCACCTGAACGGATTACTTTTTAAACAATTGTACGGTCCTCTCCAAAAGACTGGGCGAATTTTAATCAGCTGGAAAGCCACCGACCAGCGGATTATTACACACGGAAGGTTCACACTACGACAGGCTAGCGCCATGACCCTATGCAAGGAGTAGTACAGAAAAAATTCTGCTGTAGCCACGGTAGCAATACCGTACAGACAACAGCGCCACTGGGATCCATCGACAGTGAACAGAGGCTGAGACGCGTGAGACCTTTTGTTTACCCCCATTTGTTTAAGAGAAGCGACAGCAGAATGCCCAACAAACTTTAAACGAAGTTTATCACGGCGGAAGTTTTCTTGGAGGACATGATTCTAACAAATATGATTTTGAATGATGATTACTCTAACAGAACAACATCATGAACAAATAGTATGTTGCACGAATATTATCCCAAGCGCACACCCTCTTCCACGCACACTGCCTCGATGAACATGAACAATACGTAACACTTAGTTTATCACGTTTCATTTCCTGGTGCACAGATTCACAACTTCGTATTTGTCTGCTATAGCCAGAAGGTCTGTTAGATTTTGCTGTGACCGTAGCGGCCAATGGAAAAAATCTCCGCCCAGCAATTTCTTCACTAAGACGCCTTTACCCGTACTATTATTACGTCGCATATTCTTTCCAACGCGCTTTTCCGTTCCTCTTCCCTCCTTTGGGCAGCCAAATCTCTTGGTGCATCTTAATTACGTCGTCTACTCCTCCTTTGTTCCCCCGTGTGCGCTTCATCGGCGGGGCGGTTCAGATATCTCAGGAGAAGCCAGAACTCAAGCCGAAAGTCAATATGAGCACTGCGAAATACAGCTTGGTTGGTTGGTTGATATCATTTACCCTGACCCCTCGCAATGAAAAGCGACATGCAGGCTACAACAACTATATATCTCCGTGTATGTACATGTAGAGTGTTCCACTTCCTGAAAACGAACTTAGAGCCTCGTCAAGGCCTGCCGTGGCCTAATTGCCGTTCCCGTTGTTAGGCTGCCCTCGTGGCGCACGGCTGCGGAATCGCTGTGACGCTTCTGCGAAGTCCAAGACGGCACTGACCGTCCTGGTCCGCGAGACGGTGTCTGGATTACCTGTCCTACCTTCAGTTGAACCTCCCAGCAGGCTCGATATGCAATTGAATGCGTCCCCAACTTCTTTCCTCAGCTCCCGTCGCAGTTCCCTCAACCGCGGACAATCCACCAGCACATGAGTGACTGTTTCTTGCGCGCCGCAAGCGCAGTGATCGTCGTCGCGAAATTGGTGCGCCTTAGCGTAGGTGGATAACCAATTGTGGCCAGTACGCAGCTGTGTGAGCAGGTACGCCCGGTTTCTAGGCAGACTGCCATACAATCTCCTCGTGTACATGGCCGGTAGTGTGTTGTCGATTTTCCGCAGATGGCTGCCTTTGGGGTTGGACTTCCATTCGTGCGCCCATTGCGCGGAAATCTTGCTTCGGATCAATGCTTTCTTCCTCGTGAGTAGAGGGCGGAAGGGGTGTGTTTTTCCTGGGTGCGCGGCGTCCTTAGCTAGCTTATCTGCGGCGTCGTTCCCCGCGTTCTCACAGTGCCCCGGCAGCCATTGCAAGCGGAGCGTAATTCCCTCCGCTTGAACCTCTGTCGCGGCCTGGAGGATCGCGTGGATGATTCGTTGTCCTGATTTGTTCCCGGGGTTTCGGGTTGCTTGTAGGGCGGATTTGCTGTCGCAGAGAATCGTGGCTGTGGTTGTTCCTCTGCTTGGCCTGGGACGGCCGTGAGCGATCTTAAGCACCGTGCTAATTGCTTGAAAAATGCCTATTAATTCTGCTACGTGGACTGACCATCGGTCCATTAGCCCCACCTGGACCTGCTGCGATTCTATGACCTCGAGGTTGTCGTCGAGCGCTACGACGGCGGCTCCAAGGTAGCCGTCTCGTCCAGAGGCGTCCGAGTAGACGACTAAGTCAGATGTGGCCCGTACTGCTTCGGCACGTTCTCTAGCTGTCTCCCGGTCTGGCTCAACCTCAATCTCTGTGAAGGACTCGGCTCGCCACGGTGGTAGTGGTCTTGGGTCGATCGTCTCTAGTTCGTCTAACCTTTCCAGGTCCATAGTCTTCAACGCTTCCGCTAGCGGGAAGCGAGCATACGATGGGACGTTGTTCCGCCGCTTCTAGGCTCGTGACAGCGCGCTCCAGATAGGGTGGCTCCGAGGTAGGGTGTGGAGCCTTGCGATGGTGTTCTGGGCTCGTTGGCGGAGACGAAGGTGAGTGGGGAGGACGTGGGCCTCGACCTCTAGGGTTGTGGTGGCCACCGTCCTGAACGCTGACAAGATGCGAATCAATGCGGCCCTTTGGACCGAGTTTAGGTGGCGGAGATAGGTTTTATCCCGGAGTGGGTTGTGCCAGACTGTCGACGCGTAGTCTACGACCGGCGTCACGCAGGCCTGGTAAATTTGCCGCATCTGCTCAGGTCGCAGGTGCCGCAACCCGCTTAGTGCGATGGTCACTTTGGTTGCTCGTTTTATAGCCTGCTGGACGTGCTCTTTCCACCGAAGCTCCTGGTCGAAGATCACGCCTAGCAGCTTAGCTTTAGGCGAGGGTTCGATAACCATACCACCCATGACTACCTGCCCCTGGAGCTGTTCACCTCTTTTCCTAGTAAGGTGGATAAGCTCAGTCTTCTCCGCTGCGAAGCAGGATCCAGTTCGTCGGGCCCATGCCTCGATACGTGGGATGTCTTCCGATTGAATCTTGGCTAGGTTTTCCTCGGCCGAACGGCCAACTCGCCATCGGAAGTAGTCGTCGATGAAGGCAGATGCGCCCCCCTGAAAGGTGACAGGTTGGTCGACTAGGTCGGAGTTGAAGAACGCGAACAGGGTCGGGGAGAGAGGCGAGCCTTGTGCTAATCCCGCATTCGCTAGTGGGGTTACCTCTGTGCGGAAGTCGTCGAATCCTATGCTCGCGTGGCGATCGCTCATGAAGCTTGCGATCCACCTACGCGCTATTACCGGTATCCTCCTTGCCCGGAGGCGGGCGTCTAGGCTTGCTTTATTGACCCCATTGAAGGCACCCTTTAGGTCGAAAGCGATGAGGGTCACTACCTTATACTTAAGCCACGCGCGGTCAATTGCACTAGCAAGGACTAGCAGGGCCTGCTCGGTTGTCCTGCCCGGTCGTCCTCCGAATTGCGTATCTGGTAGCAGACCGTGCTTTTCGGCGAGGTAGGATAGTCTTCGAGCCATAACCGCTTCGAGTAACTTGCCCAACGTGTTAAGGAGTGAAATCGGGCGGTAGGCTCCGGGAATCGAGTAGTCTGATTTACCAGGTTTCCGTAGCACCACGATCTTCGCGCTCCTCCATCGCTTTGGATGGTATCCTAGGTTGATTGACGCGGTGAAGATTCCGGTGATGATCTCCTTAAGGGGCTTCCAAAGGTGTTTCCATACGAGCGTCGGCAGGTTGTCCTCGCCAGGTGCCGTGGAGCCCTTTGCGGCTTTGAGGGATCGTTGGATCTCTAACTCGGTGATGGGTTGCCATGGGAGTTCTAGAGGCGGCTGGCTTATCGGGTCCTCATAGGGTTCATCCATCTCGGGGAAGAAAGAGTCTAGGAAAGCCTGCGCCTTGTCCTCATTCTCTGTGAGCTCATCTTCATCGACGTGCAAGGCGGGGATGCACCCCCAGGCTTCTCGTGGTTTCATGTATGTGGCAGCTTTCCAGAGCTTTCCTTCCCCGGCTTTGTCAAGGAACTGCTTCCAATGCGATGACTTAGCTTTCTCGATCGTTCGAGTCCATGCGCGTCGTTTTTGTTGCATCTCCTGAAAGAGAGTTGCGGAGCGTGTATGGTCTCGCCCGAGCTCCGCACAACTCTCTTGCCACCTCCGCCGTAAGTGATTAACCTCAGTCTGTTGGATTTTGAGTTCTGGCGTGAACCAGCGTTTAGAGTATGGTGTTGGTCGTAGGTCAGGGGTGTGTCTGTCCACTGCCGCTGCGGTCGCTCCCGTGAGCCTTTCAACTATCTCATCCAGCGCTGGTCTCGTTTTGATCTCTTTCCATGGGCCTATCCGCAGGAGCACTTCGGCCCCAATCTTGTCCCAATCCGCTCGTTCGTGCGCTTTCTTCGCTTTGGTAGTAGGTTCGCGCTGGGCTCTCAGGCTCCATTCCGAATACGTGGCACGGTGGTCCGACCCATAGTTATCGTGGTACAGATGACATTTAATGAGCAGATCTGGCCGGTTTGTTACGGTCTGGTCAATAGTGGAGTTCTTTCCTGGGTCGCTGAGAGACCAGAAGGTTGCTGTCCCTCGGGGGAGGCAGCTATGTAGGCCATTGGCCTGGAAGAAATTGATGAGTTCGCTCGCGTCCTCTATGAACTGCGGCTGGATATGGTTGCCGCCCCAGGTCGGGTGGTGGCGGTTAAAATCCCCCGAGAGGATCACGCTCGTTGGCTTTGGGTCGTCTCGGAGAACGGTGGATATTGTGTTCTGGATTGCTGCGAGTGCTGGCTCCGCCGACGCCTCGTTGGGCGTGAACAGCGGGACAGGTGGGATATAAACTGAAAAAAGGAGTACTTGAGAGTCTGCTGTCCAGATCTTGGTTGCGGTAAGGTCTGGATGGTCGCAGGGGATCTGCCGATGCGAAGAGGTCGAAACCCTCCGGTTAACATAGATCAGACTACGATACCGAACTGCGTCGGTTTCGATAGTCGGTCGGTATAGCCGCCAGGCGCTGTGGTTGACGTGTGTTTGATAGGTGGTAATAGATGGTTCTTGGATCAAGAGTACATCCAGGTTCTGGCTCTGGTGGTCGTTGATGAGCGCTTCCATCCGCGGCCCCGATTTCATGATGTTCAACTGTAATACGCGTAGGTTGGTTTCTAACATTGAGAGGGGTTGGAGGTCGCGGGAGTCGGACACTGACGGTCACCAGTCTGGTGTTCACCACTGCAGTCGAGGCATCGTGGCCGCACGCCAGGTGGGCAATGCTCACGGAGGTGGTGGCCGGCGCAGTGGCCGCAGCGTGGTGTTTCCTTGCAGGACCACGCTAGGTGCCCAAACCGTTGGCACCGGAAGCACCTCTTCCTCTTGATCTCACGTCGTTCCACGCTATCGATATATCTTTGGCCGACTAGGAGTCCGCGGTCCAGGATCCGCTCTGCACCCTCTGCCGAGTCGAACCAGATTCCTAGGGATGCAAACTTCCCTAGCGGCTTATCTCTCATTTTTAACCATGCCACTTCTTCGATTCGGAAGCCTCGCTCGGTCAGCTCGTTTTCTTCCATGATTTTCTCGATCGCTTGTGCGCTTGCGTTCTCCAGATCAAAGTCCTCTGTCGGAGTACGGTGCACGACGACGCCGAACCGTGGTTTGACTAGCTTCGTGTTGTTTCCCAACTCGTTTAGCCACTCGGTGTTGTTGCGGGCTGCTTCCGCCGACTCTGCATTTTTGAATCGGATTACATATCCTGTTTTGGTAGTGCCTACTCCAGCGACCTGGGCGTCCTGTGTCGACGGCGCGCTCAACAGCGCAGTGCGGATGTGGGTGTTTGCAGCCTCCATTGGGAGGTATCGGCCAAATGAATTTCCATCGCTGTCACTATTGTCCCTTGGGTCGACAAAGGTTCGCTGGGTGGTGATTCGGACGCAGTTTTGATCCTTATTGGGGCGTTCGCTGTTCGGTTGAGGGTGCGGGTGGCTGCCGCTAGCCGCTACCGCGGCCCAGGATCTGGCCGGGGGTGACGCTGGTAGCGCCTCAATTTGCGTTCGCAGGGCTCGAACCTCCTCGTGGAGCTTCTCGTTCTGTTCCTGGAGGACCTGCTGGTCGTGTTTAACCTCCTGTAGCTCGGCTTTGGTTGATTCGAGGAGGGTGGTTTGGTGGTGGATGATGTCCTTCAATTCATCGATAAGCTTCCACACCTCCCGGGTGGTGACCCGGCCGGTACTCTCCTCCGGGGCATAGCTTTCATTGTGTCGTCCTCTCTTTCTTGTGATTCGCGTTGGGATGTTGCTCACCCGAGGCTGGAAATCCTCAACTGAGAAGTTGGTAGTCCCCTGAGTGTTTGTGGGTGAGGCCTCGGGAGGCCCCGCAGGTGGGTCCGCTATCCGTCCGGAGTTAGCTTCCGCTCGGTACACAAACCACGATTTTATATCGCAATAATCTCAACCACAACGTTCCACAAGTATCAACAGTTTTCACCAAGCTCGTCTTCTCCAGTATTTCGGGGTCTGCGAAATACAGCTAAATTCGAAATTGGCTTCCATCTTATTCACAGAGAAACTATCTCACGCCTTGCCGCTAGTCCTAATATGGATCCAGCTATACTGCCTTGGGATATAATGTGGGGCTCAAGCGCAATTTCTACAGTTGCAATTGGATGAGCTTGCGCTGACCCCACCTTGTAGATTAAACCCATCTGTGCAAAAGGTGGAAGCCGATTTCGAATATTGGTCACCTAGGTGCAGCCATCGTGGCGCTTGACGACAACCTAGAGATCGCCGATTCCCAACAAGTCCAGGTGGGACCGATGGACCGCTGGTCGGTCCACGTGGCGGAGCTTATAGGCATCTTCTACGCGATTAGCATGGTGTTCAAGGTTGCCCATCAACGCTTGAGAACCACAGATGGGCGACAGACAGCATCGATCCTGTGCGACAGCAGGTCATCGCTGCAGGCGATCCAGAGCGCGAGAAACAAGTCAGGACAACGGATCGTCCACGCGATCCTCCAGGCTGCCGCCGAGGTTCTAGCGGTGGGAATTGCGCTGCGCCTTCAGTGGATGCCAGGGCATTGTGATAATCCAGGAAACGACGCTGCAGACCGACTGGCCAAGAATGCCGCCTGGCTGTGTGGCCAATCATAGGCCTTCTTCTGGTGGCGCTGGGTGCTCAAACATGCTGACTCTAGGATTTGAACCAGCGTGCACAAAGGATACGCTAATTCGGGCTCATAACCAGTTGGTTTACCCAACTAGGCCAAAATACGAATCCGCACCTAGCCTAGTGGGCTGTGGTTTATAATACAACTCGCGAGGGGTCAGGGTAAATGATATCACACACACACACATGCTGTACCCCGTGAACCAGCCAAAGGATAAAGCACGAACTGTAACATGGCAGGATATCTCTGAATGGCAGTTCGACAACAAGTATATCCTCAGTGGCTATCGACCAGCGAAAGCAGACTATATGGACATATTTAACAGCCTGACCTCTTTGCACAATGAGTCTTGCAATGTGTATACTCATCTGATCGGGGCGCTGCTCCTACCACTCGCCGAAACTACCTTGATGCAGTATCTAGGAGAGCCTCAGTTTCTAAATGTCTCGTCCATGGACTACGCTGTGTTTGGAATCTACTTCTGGTGCGCAGAGATCTGTTTGGTCCTTAGTGCTTTTTACCACCTGGTGCAATCCCACTCGCATCGAGTAGAACAGTTCTGGCCATGGAATGGACTTGGTCGGTATTGTCATTATGACAGTAGGCACAATCTATTATGTATTCTTCTGTGAAACAAGCTTGCGCAAATTGCACTGGGCTATTGTGAGTCTCTCGGAGCAATCAGCACCACACACCCCAACCTCCTGGAAGTTGAATCAAATCCAATGATGTACTGACAGAAGTTCTAGACCCTGACTACAGGTACTGTCACCAGTGTTCTATTACTCTATAATCCCTTGCTCAAAACTCCGCGCTGGCGGAAAGTGAAGTTGTGTGTCTTCGTTAATTTTGGCGCTTCGTCTTTTATACCCTTGCTTCATGGAGTCCAACTATACGGCCTTGATCATATGCTCCAATACTCAGGAATGAAATGGTATCTGCTCGAGCTTACGTTTTTCGGACTTGGAGTCAGTCTATACGCGGTATGTCTGCACGCTCACCGCAATTTCCATTCTCTGAGAGGTAAGTTACTGTGAGAAATTCTGACGAATATCTACAGTTCCGAATTCCCGAGCGTTTGGCACCGAATAAGTTTGATATTTGGGGAAGCTCGCACCAGATCTTTCATGTGACTATCTTATGCGCAATATACGTACACCAGACTGCTCTCCTGCAAGGTTTCACAATCTATCATACACTGGATGTTTGTCAGCTTCAGGGTTTTGACTGAGCAAAATGAACCTTTACTTCGCACTTATGTTCTATAAGGCATTTGTACAAATGAACATCTCTAGGTACGATAGAGTTAGGGCAGCTGCTAAAGTATTACTGCCATGTTCGAAATCAGATTCCCCCACGTCCACTCAGAAAATAATTCTCCAACCCCATCTTAAAACGCGCTAGTTATATTTGAGTTAGTCGCAGATCGTGATTGTCCACAAACACAGTCACCGTTCATTAGTGTTTATAACACGGTACTTCCGTCCACAGGCATTAATATAGGTGGGGTATGTACTACATTCTAAATAATTACTTTTCAGTAGGTCCGAAGCATTAAGCAGCGCGTTTGAGGTCAGTTCAGCGAGCCCGCATGGACAAACTGCCCACCCCATTCCAGCCTCCCCATTGTAACCGGTTGGCTGGCCACCACATCCACCCAGATTGACCTTCGACGGAATTCCGCCGCCAATTCCTAACATAAGTCCGAATCTGATCGATTGGAACGTGTTTATCATAGATCGCGACAGTCGCGGCAGGGTCGGTTCCCACATTGGGTAGGCAGGCTACGACGACGTTGTGGCCATATATTGAGCCAAGGGTGTATGCAGATCCCCGCTTTTGTCGCGAGGACTAATTGCACAATTTGAGGTTGACTATCCTGGCTTGAACAACCCGGTTTGGTTGGTTCCTGCCTGTTCCGTCACACACAGGCGAACCGTCGGGGCTGTAATGAGTAATGAAAAGGTGCGGTCAGCAATAATAAAATCTCACAAGGCTTGTTGGAGTGGTGTAACCACGTGCCAGGATAGTGAACAGCACCACGGTCATGAAGTCAAGGTCGGGGCTATTGCCAGAGATCATCTACAGGTATTTCTAGGCTACGGGATAACCTGACCGCGTCTTTATCCCCGTTTGCATCCTGCTAGATCTCTCTTCTTGGACGATAGTGGCATTGGATGTGTCGAGCCGGATTGCTGCATGTTGGGCCCTGGTAACGCGGCTAACAACAGGGCTGGCCCTTAGCAAGAACAACTGAATAAAAGGGGGACAATGCAAGAAACAAAGCAAGAGGGCATCCCGTTCTTCATCTTGCATTTCCACTTACTCTCTAAATCTGGCCTCCCCACATCACGTTATCATCAGGCACGACAGCAAATGCCATCCGCTCTCCGTATTCGAGTTCCGTCCCCGCAGCTGCCAGAGGTGCAGAAAGGGCAGGGAATGGATTCTATCAGCGACACCGCATCCAAGGCCCACAAGGCAGGACGCCCAGTTCTTCTCTTGGTTTATGAGATGCCGGAATGGTTCCGACTTAAATCCAACAAGTGGATTCTCCATGGCTATCGGCCCATCTCGGGCTCGGCTCGCGCTTCGTTCTGCAGTTGGTCGTATATTCACAACGAGTCAGTCAATCTCTATTCTCACCTCATCCCGGCCGTTTTGTTCCTGCTCGGCGAGTGGTATATCCAGCGGTACCTTGCCAGCAGATACTCCCGGGGTCACCGGCGCTGATATCATTGCTTTCTCCATCTTCATGTTGACAGCCGTCACGTGCCTGTCGTTGTCGACGACGTACCACACTTTGATGAACCACTCCCAGCACATGAAACATTTCTGCCTGCGACTGGACATGCTAGGTATAATTGTCTTCATACTGGGCGACCTTGTTTTGGGAGTACAGTATACATTGTTTTCTGGTGTGAACCTTTGCCACGCAATATCTACTGGTCCATGGTTAGTTAAGCTCCATGTGCACACTGTTGTTTTTCCTCATCTCAGACTTGGTACTTGAGTCTAACACGTCTAACACTCTTCTTTCTTGGGTTGAGATTTGAGTTTTGGGGACGTTGACCATCTTCATGACAATGCATCCCAAGTTCCAGGGCCCAAAGTATCGCCTCTTCCGAGCATTGATGTTCGTGGCGATTGGCTTGTCCGGTATTGCGCCCTTGATTCATGGGCTCAATGTGTTTGGCATGCCACAGATGATGAGAAAAGCTTTCCCCTATACTCTGGCAAAAGCAGGCTGCCTTCTATCTGGGACTTCGTTTTATGCAGTAACTCTCCCAATTTCTCACACAAGAGAGGAATTGGCCCTATACTAACACATGTGGTTCTGAAGACCAGGTTTCCCGAAAGTCGATATCAAGGCAAATTCGACCTATGGGGCTCCCATTCGATCTTCCACGTCCTGGTGGTATGCGCCGCTGTGGTCCAGTTGATAGGGTATCTGGATGCCTTCGACTATGTGCAGGCGAATCTTACAGTACTTGCTTGTCTCTTTGAAATCTGTTCTCCTAGTGTAGATTTCTTTAAGTATTGTCAAGATCAGGTATCGTGAACGAATTCACGTATAGCGTGATCAACACTAGCAAAAGGTAGCACAGCTGCTGCCTACAGATTGACTCTGCTGCCTACGACTGAGCACAAGTATAGGAAACCGACTTTACAGTCATTCTCGAAATTGCCTTGACCAGTACACTCTTTGACTATCTTTCTTGGCCCCACTGCCAAGCCTTTAGCGCGGATCAACTATTGGGCCCACCCCATTAAGTTGCGGTCCGGTTTGATCCCCCCGAGCTTGTACAGTGATGTTCAAAACGTGGGGCCCTCAACTCGATGCGTCCAGCCCAATAGATGATCCACGATAAAGCCTTGGCAGTGGGTCCAGAAGACAATCATTATGAGTGTATTGGTCAAGCCGATTTCGAGAATGAGTGTAGTCCATCCTTACAGTAGATAGAGGGGGTGGATGGCGCTGTGGTTAGCGTCGCTATCATGGACAAGTTTGGAATCGGATCGAGCCGCTCTCTACTGTCGGTTGACATAGTCATGGTTTAAGGGTATTCGGTATCTTGTGATAGATGGTTCATGGATAAGCATTATTTTCAGGCCCTGAAATATCAAGCCGGTGAGGCTGTTCACAATTATTCCAATATTGTTTGTCCATGAAAAAGCATCGATCATATTCTCGGTTCGGAATAGTCAACCACAAAGCACGCCAGATAATGTAGCTCAAGTCCTTTGATTCCCTGGGTAAGCCATTTGAGTCACCGAATTATATCCCTCTTGATTATTAGTCTGGACTTGAGACTGTTTTTCATGTTGCACCAAAACACAGCAAGTGCAACAGACAGACTCCACGCAATCTCTGAAGGGTGAGCCTTTAATGTGGAAGCGCTTCCTAATTTTTGTTCTTTGCATCATTACTGGTATCCAGTAGAGCCCGCAAGTGGTAAGTAACGAAAATGAACAACACTAGAAGCGTATGGTCAGTGTCATTATTGGCAAGAGGAAATTTTTCGTATTACATCAACGTTACAATGGCTTTCCCTCTCTCCCTTCAACCGCGAAGTCGTCTTTCCATGGAAATAGACAAGCACAACAGCCTATTGCAATGTTATTCTTGAGATCACGTTCTCATTAATGGAGGCTTACAAATATTTGTGGGGTCACAGCATGCCCAGAGCGAATAGTCCCAAGTTTGACCGATAGAGCCATTGGAGAGAGAGCTTGACATTTTGGAAAGAGTGTGGTTGTAAAACAATTTGACCACAGGAAAATGTGATACAAGGACAAGATGGTGACAGCAGGATATTTATTGTAGATGACCCTGACATTCAAAAAGAATAATTAATTGGCCATGTTCAAAACTCGGAGGTATTTGATTGAGTAGCTACTCGATCAATAGTTTAGCGACATCATCGAGACCTAGCATACTGCTTATGCAGGTCTAAAGTCATCAAAGTTGATGCATCTTTTACTTGGCCGCTCATGCCCAATCCAAGTGGAACATGGACAGCCTGCCAATTTCCAATAAATTAGATTACTCATTTCCAATTGCATCTATTGACTATGTTAAACTGGTCATCATAAAGAAATACGCGCTGTCTGTGTAATAAATGGGATGATAATTTAGCCAAATCCGATTATCGTTGGCAGAAACAAACTCTCTTGCAACGCATAAAAGTTACACCGCCATGTAGCCCGCACAAACTTCTTTATTACCACAGACAAGACAAGTCAGTCCAATTTCAACAACCAAAGTCCCAAGGATGATAATACCGCCTGAATTATGCATTGCTCCTGTCCGTCAAGGTAGCTGACTCTCAATTAACCACTCATCTTATTGATCACTTATTGGCAATCCGCTGGCTCGCGCATCAATAGTGCACAAATATTCACAATAACAGCTTAGTTTTCAGGAAAACTTTATGATTTTACCGCTACTTCAGCTTCAGACTCCAGGGTTTCAAACGGAAATCATTGTCGAGAATGGTATGTCTGGATCGGATCAGCCGACGGATGAAAAGGCTAGATGAATACAGTCAATTTCAAAAATACTGTCAATATCCCCTAACTTCACCCATACGATACTGTAGGCTGAAGAAGACATACAATGCCAGCATTTAGAACATTAAATTGCCTTCATATGGATTTAGACATATTGGACATTTACATTTGTAAACTGGGCACAGCGAATTGACCACCCTTGGTACGCTGGTAATGGAGGAGCACAGAATGGGTAGCCAGTGGCGAATATTGGTGCATAATTAAGTCAATACACTAAAACTGCACAAGAAAAACGGATCATGCAAAGTGGAAAAAGATTTTGGGAGAGAAAAAGGGGAAGCAAAGGCAAGAGTTATCAGTCGTGTAAGAAGGTGGAGAACAGAATGGACAAACAAAGTGTGTAATTAGAGCGATTAAGTCGACATAACACATTTCGGGAACCTGGGTGGTCAATTCAGAGTTCAGAATGATTGAGTGATGGGCTGCCAGGCGGTCTTTCGTGGTATTGTACTGGTCACGCCAAAACGTAAGTTATACAGTACAGTACCACTTACACAAACCTCAGGCAAAACTGTTCTCCGGAGTGTGGCGGTGCAGTGCTGTAACAAAATTGTTATTGTAAATTTAATGTAATATATATCTTTGCAAGACGAAAAGGGTTGTACGATCTTTAATCTTCGATCAAGGGTTGAAATTCTACAGTAAAACAAGGGATTGTCATGCACTTATTTCTTGTGGCATGATTGCCAGCCAATGATTACTTAAACTGGTATACTAACCACGCCAGCGGTTGCCTGCTAGACGTCGAACTTTAGAAAGTTTGGATCCTCTTGGGGTCGATATGATTGGAAATACATAATTTACAAGTAAATCGTAATTTAACCACCAAGGTGTGGTTATCTTTTGATCTAATTACAGTTGCTTAACTATCCTATCTGATTGGCCCGTGATCGAGTGCATCGCTGAGGAGGTTTGATATCCATCCAAGCTTGCCGTAAGCAGATCATATCTACATCCGCAAAATGAGGCCCAATTTGCCTCAGTGTCATATTCTTCCTCTTGAATTCACGAAGCTCCCGTTTCTCCGTTGACTTAAGTTTCCGTCGAAGTGTCTTCCCCGCTGAATGGTTCGAAATCTGCTGTATCGGTCGTTGTCTTGCCTGGGCTCGGGTAAGAGGTTTCTTGGGATTAGTTATACAATCCCAACTAAGAGGTGTGGTCCCATCGATGAATTCTTGATGGGCAGGAAGATGACTTTCGGGCCCCTTCTCCACAACAGAACATATGCGGTTGCCCGACTTGAAAATCCGGCGTTTATTTCGCAAGTTTTTCTTCTTCTCGTTCACTTCGTTTGCAATAGTATTCGTTGATGGGCTTTCTCGAATTCGCGATTCAATGGGTGTCGTCGTCTTGACCTGAGCCCCATTAGGAGATGGATTGAGAGAATGTTGCTGGTTAGCAACGGTATCACAAGATTGGTGTGCATCCTCCTTGTGGCGATGAGCCGGGTCGAGAGTACGACGATCATTCACTTGGGAAATAGGAGTGGGCTGAATATCAACACCATGACTACGAGACAGTGAATGTGCTGCATTATTGGATGGTTTGATATCATGCTCATCCAGCGGGATTTCAAGGGAGCTCGTTTGCATAGAACCTTGATCAAAAAGCTGACGTCGGTGTCCTTTCTGAACCTCCAAAGGCCCGAGGATTCTCGGATCAATGTTCTCCAATTCAGGAGTTGTTGGTCGCGAGCTGAGTGGAGAACTTGCTGCAGAAAAGCAGGAACCAACTGAGCTAGTTCTGCTGCTTTTAGTTGACATATCACTCAAACTCGAACAATTGTAGTACTGTGGATGCTCCTCCACAAAGGAACACAGCGCGGGGACAGGCATGAAAGTGGTGTCGGCCAATTGATGCTCATATTCGTGACGCGGAGGTGGATAGCGGTAGAAGCGGAGCCTCTTGGAGCGGCCCTGCTCTGGCTCTGATAAGGACATTTGCGCTTCCACCTTGCATGGATGCTTTCTCTTCCTCTGGCGTTTCGGACTTAGCCATATGGCTTTGTTTAGCCTGTGGGTGTCGTGCAAATGGTGTCGGAGGCCACGTTCTTCGTCGAACGTTTGACCACATCCGCACAGTGGCTTCGTTCCATGACACCGATATCTATTCATATGCTGTTCTTCAATATGTTGCCTCAAATTGCCACTGTTCAGCCA